ACTCTGTTTTCAGTTCTCAACAAACTAATTCAACCCCCCAACACTTTACCACCACACTTCTATTCCTCTGAAACCTGCAACTCCTTGATGGTGTTCTGGACTACGAAAATCAATAACATCCACCAGCAACTCAGATCAAATGTTGTGTCTGCGCCCTCTCCAGAACCCTTTCTCCTTTTTGAGCCGTTTTCCACTTTTCATCTTCCTGATTTATCCGATATTTCCGAGTTCATATGTAAATCAAAGCCTGCCACATGTCATCTTGACCCCATGCCCACAGGGCTTGTGAAATCCTGCCTCTCTTCTTTACTCCCACTCATCTCTGCTATCATTCACTTTTCTCTCACCACCGGTATCGTTCCCTCCTTATTCAAGACTGCTCTAGTCACTCCTATACTGAAAAAACCTTCTTTAGATCCTAACAACTTTAACAACCTCCGTCCGATTTCCAATTTACCCCTCATTTCTAAGATACTCGAAAAAGTGGTTGCAGCTCAACTTCAGTTACACCTGGTTAATAATAACATCTACGAGAGATTTCAATCTGGTTTTCGCTCATGTCACAGTACAGAAACTGCTTTACTTAAAGTCACTAACGATCTTCTAATCGGAGCTGACTCTGGTCTTCTCACCATTCTCTTCCTTTTAGATCTGAGTTCAGCCTTCGACATCATCTCTCACTTTGTACTTCTAAGCAGACTTTCTTCTCTTGGCATCTCTGACACACCCCTCGCCTGGTTTCAATCATATCTCCTCGACCGTTCCCATTTTATTCAACTAAGATCATTCCGCTCTCGTCTATTCCTTGTCACCTCTGGTGTACCTCAAGGCTCAGTTTTAGGCCCTCTTCTCTTCATAATATACATCCTCCCTCTAGGTACCATTTTCCACAAATTTGATCTTCAGTTTCACTGTTTTGCTGATGACACCCAGTTATATCTCTCTTGCAAACCTGATTCCTCCCTCCCACCTTCCTCCCTGTCAGAATGTCTATCCGAGTCAAAATCCTGGTTTACCTCTAATTTTCTAAAGCTCAGTGAGGATAAAACTGAGAGCCTCCTTATTGGCACCAAATCCAACCTTATGAAGGCAAACCATTTCTCACTCACCATCGATAACTCCACAGTTTTCCCTTCTCCTCAGGTTAAGAGCCTTGGTGTCATCCTAGACAGTTCACTTTCCTATAAATCTCACATCAATAAGCTCACCCGTTCTGCCTACTTCCATCTACGTAACATTAACAGATTGCTTCCTTCTCTTTCCACCCAGTCTACGTCCATTTTTGTCCATAGTCTTGCTACCTGTATTGACTACTGCAATTCTCTTCTGCATGGTCTCCCCCAAAAATCCCTCCATAAGCTCCAACTGGTTCAGAACTCTGCTGCTCGCATTATCACCAGAACCCCCTCCTACCAGCACATCACCCCTGTTCTTCAGGAACTTCACTGGCTCCCTGTGAAATTCCGGATAATTTTCAAACTTCTTCTGCTCACCTTCAAGGCCATTCATAACCTGGCTCCTCCTTACCTTTCTGACCTGTTAACCACTACCTGTTCTGCCCGTTCACTTCGATCTTCTTCTTCTATCCAGCTTGCTGTACCTTCCTTCCGCCTCACCACCATGGGAAGCAGAGCTTTCAGCTGCTCTGCTCCCAGGCTGTGGAGTGGAACTCTCTGCCCCCAGAAATAAGAAACATTGGTTCTCTCTCCCAGTTTAAATCCCAACTCAAAACTCATCTGTTCAAATCTGCATATTCACTGTGAATCCACTGTTTGTTAATTTTATCTTGTGCTTTTGTTTTATTGTTCTTATTCTGCCATTGTTTTACTAAGTGTTTTATCCTATTGTAAAGTGACCTTGGGTGACTTGAAAGATGCTCATAAATAAAATTTATTATTATTATTATTATTATTATTATTATTATTATTATTATTATTATTATTATTATTATTATTTAGCCCCCCTGAATACTTTGTAGAACCACCTTTTGCTGCAATTACAGCTGCCAGTCTTTTAGGGTATGTCTCTACCAGCTTTGCACATCTAGAGACTGAAATTCTTGCCCATTCTTCTTTGCAAAACAGCTCCAGCTCAGTCAGATTAGATGGACAGCGTTTGTGAACAGCAGTTTTCAGATCTTGCCAAAGATTCTCGATTGGATTTAGACACCAGACAGGTCAGGGATAAAGTTATTGAGAAATTTAAAGCAGGCTTAGGCTACAAAAAGATTTCCCAAGCCTTGAACATCCCACGGAGCACTGTTCAAGTGATCATTCAGAAATGAAAGAAGTATGGACGGCCTTGTCTTGCTAGGTTTACAGTTGTTCCATACTTCTTGAATAATTACACACACCCCACTTTTCAGTTATTTATTTGTAAAAAATGTTTGGAATCATGTATGATTTTCGTTCCACTTCTCACGTGTACACCACTTTGTATTGGTCTTTCACGTGGAATTCGAATAAAATTGATTCATGTTTGTGGCTGTAATGTGACAAAATGTGGAAAAGTTCAAGGGGGCCGAATACTTTTGCAAGCCACTGTAAGTCTGTGCTGGCAAAGCATTGTTTCTACCTTTATACCTTCTATCTTATTGTATACTATTCTGGGTTTGCTGGAAACTGGGTCGTGTGTAAAGGGTAACTTCCTCCTACTGACCTACAGTGGTTTACTTTGACTTGCAAGTGAAACTGCCTTTTTTCCACTAGGTAAGGCAAAAACCTTACCTCTTTTCAACGTGGTTTTAAGCTACTCTAAGCTGTGTAACATGCATGATTGTTGCATTATTTGAGAACCAAGTAGTTTTAGCTTCAGATAATGCAAACCATTGAACTGTATGTTCCAGCTAAGCATTTGCACTGTGCAATATTTAAAGCTATGTTATAGATATATTTACTAGCCTGCAAAACTAATTTTCAGCCATAGCAAGCAGCAAAGATGTAGTACAGATGTAGTTATAACATAGTTTACCCATTGAATTACACTGTGGAGGATTTAGCTGCTAAATAATTAGACATTTCCTTTAAGTAGTGGCAAAAAGCCCAAGTGAATACAGGATATATCGAGTTGCACGAACACATAACTAGATGCAGGCTAAGGTCGCTGCTTGTGTGCTGGATATGTAAAAAGTCGCCTGTTTGCATTTACTTTTGCTACTGAAGTGTGACAGTGTCAGTGGTCAATTTTTACTGAGAATAAATCGCAGTAATACAGCTTTGTGGACATCTGATACAACAACATTTTGTCATCACACACACATTGAATGTACAGGTCATCTTTGTTCCTATCCAGTAAAAGTTCATTCCCAGAAATTCACTTACAGCTCAGTTGAGGATATTTATGTGCACGTCCTGCATTTTGCTATGTGACAGCAGCATTATTCTTTTTAATGGAATTAAACAAAGAGGCTCCATCAGCTGTCTTTCAGTAGAGCTCTATAATTGTCCATTAGTGTGTTGCCCTGGTATTGCATATCTCTGTGTATTGTTTGCTTCATGCACCAGATACTGAACACATACTGAACCCTCATTTGCTCCTAAACCCATTCAGCAGCAGAGGCACCAGCTATGTTTGACTCTCAATACTCTGTTTGGAGGCACTGTGGTGTAACTTGTTGAGTCAATGCTGTGGGAGGTGATGACATTTTTCATTCATAAGTATGATGCGTGGCATGGGGTGGTCATTTTTCACGATGCAGTAAAGGCTTCAGTGGTGAATTCATGGGTGTCACCAGTGCAGTGTGTTTAATCAGCTGCCTGTGCTGAGACACACACACACACACACACACACACACACACACACACACACTAAAACGATCACTTTCTAGTAGGGCTAATAAAGATATATTGCTGCAGTTATAAGGTCACCAATTTTGTTGGTGTGGTTATTGATTGTCAGAAGTTAAGGCATCATATCCTCAAAGTGTTTCTCTCACAGATGGTCTAATCCTAATGAACCACACTAACGAGCCAGATGCCTGCGTGCCGCATTACACGAGGTCCCTGTGAGGTTATGTGGAAAAAAACCCTGCAAATATTTTTAATTGACAGCACAGAGAGGAACCATGTGTGTGTGTGCAATCTGATGTCATGATAAATTGTGGTACATGAGCTGGCATAATATTTGCCGAGGATGGCTGTTTGAATGAATAATTGAAGGAGGTTCAATTAGGAGTGAGATTAGAGAGGGAGTCGCTTTACCCGGGATCCAAATGTGTTTGGAGAACTCACTTCTCCATCTTTTTAGACGCATCTCGTCTCCTGGAGTTTCCTGAAAAGACATCTCACAAAGTATTTCATAATAAATTTGGTGAAGACTCATAAAGAAAAGCTATCAGATGCGACTTCCAAAACATGTCTGCTGTTTTTGATTCATGTTCTTGGTTATTGCTTTTTTTTTTTTAAGAGTCAGTGTACGGTTTGATGATGGATGTGCAGTAAACACTCTGCGATCCATTTGTGATGCCTGTGTATAATAAAAACATCCTGCTTGTGTTTTGGCTGACGGTCTGTGTGCCTCTATTGCTCTTCTCATTCTCTGTGCCTGTCTGTCTTTTCCTGCCTGCTCTCCATCTGTCTCCCTGTTTGTGTTTACTTGCAATCTATTTCTACGTCACTCTTGAGCGATTGGCGGCCGAGATATTAGTACGTAAACATCGAACAACACACTTATTGGAAGCATTTATCATTCAAACTGCAAAATGTTTTACAGCTTGGATCAAAACTTAACGTCACCACCATGTGTGATGAGACCAACTGCAGTTTCAGCACGGCCTTCTTATCTACTGTATCTTTTGTAATATGTTCACAAAGGCTCATTAAAATATGCTTCATCATGCAAATATGAGAAAGTTTGGCCATTAGAAGTGCACAAACAAAGGCCTCCATTTTCTGTCTCCCATTTGTGCCACAGCAGCTATATTGTCCAGTAGAGGGCAGCATAGACAACTGAGAGGTTTGGTGTGTGCAATAGCAAACTAAAACACTTCTCTTCTTTTGCAGGGGCAAAGTGTTTCGAGGAAAGAAGGTCCTTGGGGAATATGACATCAAAGTGGAGCAGGTATCATGCTGGATTTAATAAATATGTGATGCTACAGAAAAGAGATGCCAGTCATCAAAGTGAACTGATATTCTATTGAGTATCATTAATAATAACAACAGAAGATGCTTTTCGCAGCTGTAATGATCTGAGAGGAATTTAAGTTTTCTCTTTAGTTTAGCTTAAATCTCTTGGAAAACTAGAAATATTACTGTAAACATCAGTAGTATTTTAAGACACTAGGTCATATTATGCTGATAAACATTTTAGAATGCTAACAGGCTAAACACAAGATTGTGTGAACCTGGTAAATGTTACCTGCTTCACACCATAGTGATAGCATCGTCAAACAACATATGAGGTTGATGGTGTTAAAATTTACCCCCAGGATTCTCATAGTGTCACCTCATAGCAAACTAAACCTTAATATTAACACATACAGCTGCTGTCAAGACATGACGTCTCTTTAATGTTGAAATCTAATGTTGCTGATGGCCTTGTAAACGAAGCTGTTTGATTTGGCCACATTTTCTTACGTAACCTTCACGTACAGTAATACTTTTTTGAGGTGTTTTGGTGCGGAAAAATGGAAAAATAATCAACTTTTTTGTATACGTCTGGTTTTACATTGATTTACTTTGTTTTTTAAACATCATAAAATTTTATTGTCCTCATCTGTCTTCTCCTTTGTCCAGTAAAGTGAGTGTCCACGCATGAACAGTTGGCTAGACTTGTAAAACAAAAAAAAATACAGTAAAATTATACAGGACCTGTGTATTAGGCTGTACAGTTATTTTTGCTCACGTTGTTTCAGATGTAGGATTTGACTGTCGCAGTGGTTTCATATTGGTTCAGCCAACTAACCAGAAAATCCTTTTGCAGTGCTCGGTTACTGCATTTGAGATGACTATTCTCTGGGGTTTCACACCAAACAGTTTCACACCTAATAGATGTTGACAGTTAAATTACAACCTCAAGCCTCACCACAGATGTGAAATAGACACCAGTGGAGACAGAAGTCGGCAGCTATGAGTCACAGACAGATCTTCGCTGTTTTTTCGACCACACCAAAGAGCAGCCATGTACATTGTTTTGCTGCACAAGCACACGGTTTATTTACGCTGCATAACACAGCGTGACTGCGTAAGTAAATAACAGCAGGAAAAGTCTGTGAGGTTGAAAAGTGTCGTTTAATTGTTTGTTTTGATTGCCCCATGACTCATTCATTCAAATGATTAATAATGAATAATGTGCATGCTGTGAAAGTAGCTTTATGAGAGAGAGAAATAGCACATTGGACAGAATTTCCTGCACAAAAACCTTCAACAATGAAACAATGTCATTTATTAAAAGCACAAATAACCAATCATAAGCATCAGATTGTATCAACATTGCATAACTGATTAAATTATCTTCTTTTCTCCTTCGCCACGTAGGCTGAGTTCTCAGAGATCAACCTCGTCTCACATTCAAACGGGACCTGTAATGTGGACATGCAGGTCATCAGGGGCGGGACCAAAGTTGTCAGGTCAGCATCACACGTACACAGACATTGTCACACACATAGAGTAATTGTTAAAACATCATTATCCTAATGAGTAAAATTGAACAGGAATAATCCCAAACTGGAAAGAGAAACAACACAAATTCACAAACAGTGTAAATGACGACAGTGCATACGAAAAAACCCCAACTTGACTTCTACCCACTCTGTAACTTACCAGCAAGACACCTGTCAGCAGCGCTTTAGCTTTCGGTGTCATTCATCTTTTCCTGATGTTACTGAAAGTGAAACAAAACATAAAGAGAGACAGTAGAAGGCCATTGTGCGGTATGGTGTTCATCAGAAACAACACAAATTCATAAACAGTGTAAATGACATTTGTGAGATCTTTGTGAGATAATTTCACTTTGGTTCTCTCAGAAAATAGTAAACGCACATGAAGTGCACCAGTAAGCAACAAGAGCTTTTGATGGCAAACACAATGCAGCTGTAACCATTAACTAACTTTTCCTACAGTAATGCCATGAAGCCAAACCTACACCATCTTCACAAAATCACCAAACTTTGTAGTTTTACTGCTGTTGCAAGGGCACACAAAGGAGCACAAGGCACAACGCTCCACGTGACACAAATGATTCTCCTCTTAAATTACAGCCACTTAACACAATTAAGTCCTTGGAAAATTACCACCACTTTGAATCCTTGTGAAAGGGCAAGAGCAAACTTACAGTTTTAGCCCTGATTTACCACATTTATGCATCAGTTAGCGTCGTTTCTGTAAGACAGAAAAGCTTCAGAGTGCATTTGGAAAGAATGAACATTGTTTACTGAAAGCTCTGATCAGTGGAAAAAGAGCAGAGGCGTTTGACCACAACCATCACCCGCAGGGCGGTACAGTAGATTTGCCTATACTGTAGACATGCTCACACACCACAAACCACACTGACAGAGACACCAGTATCCTGGCTGAAGACTGGGACTTATTAAGCAAGACGGTAGCTCCTACTGGTGTAAAACAAGCAAAAAACCAACAGGAAATGAAGGGTGTAGCATTAGTTTTATGATGGGCTGGCCTGCACATGCTCACACAATGACCAGGGCCAAATGCTGAAGATCATGTGGAGTAAGACAGACTTTAAATTACTGCGGGCAGAATGATTCACACTCGTCTGTCCCAGCTGTGTCATGTCTACGGAAGTCTTATTCTTTGTGTGGAGGCGATGAACGAGTTTCCAACATAAACCTCAGTGTGTCTTGCTGTCTGCCCGTGTGATGCACAGTTTTTCGACCTGAATGCACCTACAATTGATTCTGTAATTACAGCGTGTTCATTGATTTCAAGTCAAAGCGGGGAGTTCCTAACTGCTCAGATACTGCGTTGCTAAGTAACCTCGATCCCCGAAGATCTTTTATGTCTAGACTTTACCACTGCACAATCTACATCTATACTGTCTTTACTGAACAATTTCTGGTTTGTTTTTTGTTTTGTTTTGTTTTTAATTGTTATGTATGAAAAATGAAGCAATAACAAAAAGTTTTGTTTTCTCATTATTTACGTTGAAACACGTTGCACTTTTTGCATTTGGGTGATATTTTAGCAGTACTCACAGAGCATTTGGCAAGCTCTTCAGTGCATGTATGCATAGCTAGCCTCCACATACTCAGACACACAAACCAAAATTTGGATTTAATTGCTTAGTTTTTAATGTATGTTAATGCACGTTGGCCATAGTCAGTATTCATAGCATCAGTATGTGAAACTCCCCGAAAAACAGCTAACGTGGCAAAGTCTATAACAGCAATTTCAGTAAATGCAACAGTGTTGCATTTACTCATTGATTGTTTGTGATCTGAACCATTTTGGGTCTGCTTATCCAGGAAAAACTGAATCTCTTTTGCTAATTGTTGTGGTGCGTACATGGAGAGCATCCATATGCTTAGCCACACACATAGGATTTCAGGCTAAACAGGAAAAGGCTCCGCTAAAGGAATCATGCTATTTGATGAGAAGTCTTCAAGAGGCCATTAAAAATGTTTTAGTTTTGTGTTTTGTCTTATGTCTGTGAAGGTTCTTCCAGAAGTGTTTTGTCTTACTTTTGTCTGCTTTATTGAAGAAATTACTATTTATTTCTAAATAATCATCTTTTTGAGTTAAAATAATTTATATTTAGAGTCACAAATAAATGTGCTCAAAGGCTAAAAAGTGCTATATTTAAAAGGCCCTCTTTTATAAATCTCAGTCATTGTTCTCAGTCGTTTAAGCCTCATTTCCACTCCCATATTTAGCCACAAATAAATGGGCACACGCCTTAATTTCGTCATTTACAAAATTGCTCTTCTATTTAATTATTGGACAAACTGCCAAGACAATATCCTGGAAGAAGTTTCTAAAGCACAGAAAATGAACTTTGGGTTGGTGTGGTTCACTTATGGAATCTCAAACAAAAGAAACTAAGGATAACCTGAAAGGGCTTGGGTCAATGATCCTGGCAGTGACAAAACAATCTATAAATAAAGATATACGAACAGTACTAATATTAGGGATAGTGGTAAAAGTGACTGACTCAATACAAAGCAGTACACTACAAGGATGTATGTGAGTTGGAATTTATGCATAAATTACTAGCGGGTGGGTTTGTAGACAGAAAAAATAAAAAGATAATAAGAAATGTAAGCTCTGTCTCATCTCCACTTTACCTGAGTGGGATTGGCTTGCTCCAAAAACCCAGTGCATGCATGGCCAGAGTATGCCTAACGTCTGCAGATTCGTTTTCAAATTGTGCATGTTGCATCTATGTGAATACATCGTTTATACATGTGACAACCATCGCTTTAGTTTCATTTCATACTGAAAGCTTGTTTGGATGGCTGTGGCTTTCTTGGCAACATCGAATGAGGGTAGTACTGATGAGCCTTACTGCCAGTAATGAAGAGGCTACAGTCACATTAATTGCTCTGTCCTCTCCACCAGAGTCTTTTAGTTTGTTGGAGTGTCTGATTAGTATTCTCAGTGCATGAAGAGCTGGTGGTGGTCACACTGCGGCAGTTTTCACTCTCTGTCTGTCTTCTTTCACTCCTCTCTACATCTCTTTCTTCACTGTATTCTTTCTCACACCTCTCTCTCTGCTTTTCCTCACATTCCCTCGCTGTCATACGTGCATGCAGGGACAAAAGAAAAAATAACAGGAGTCATGTCCTGTCAGCGTCAGCCGTTCAGTGAGTTGAACTGCACTGAATATTGTTTCTGACCTTAACCCTCTGGTCATAAATTGCTTCTCTGAGCTTCAGTGCTGTGGGTGTTTTTGTATGGAGACCTACACAGTTTCAAATGTAGAATATTACAGAAAATCAACAAAAAAGACTTTAAATCAATAAAAGCCCCACTGGGAATATATTACTCTCTGCAATTTAGCATTTATTTCTTTTCACTTGTGCATAACAATCCCTCATTACCTCTCAGTAGTTAGATTTTACTGCACTGCAGTCCTCATCAATGTTAACTGTGCACAGCCACCTCTCTGACAGTAGTATTTTCACCACCTTCATTTTCACCTGCCATGATGGGATTTCCCAGCAGGACAGAATGTGTGCAAGGCTCAAACAGCTTCTTGCCCACCCCAGTTTTATCTCCGGCTTGGGGCAGTAAAATAACTTGAGGTTTCAATGTTATACCAAGAAAAAGCAAGGTGAGACATACAAGTAGTAAAACGCACTGTTTTCTAGCAGCTAATTTAAGTAGCAAAGTATTTGGGTTGTCCAAAATTTTATGAAGGGGAGGAATATAAGAGAAATATGTCATAATTTAGAGTTACTACATTGTTGATTGGTTACTTTTGAATATGTTTTTATTGGCAAATATAGTGTTTAATGTTTCAAACGTAATGTTTCCCTTTATCAATGCTGGGACTTTTTTTTCTGACAGCAAAACAAAGATGTCAGGTTTATTGCAGTGTAGCTTTTAAATGGAGACCTTTTTTCCCTATTCTGTTTCTGCAGTAGAAAGCAGTTTGCATTTTTTCCACACAGAAATCAATCAGACAATCAATAAAGAATCAGAACTCTAAGCAGAACTAACAATTGCACAGGTATCGATACAATTGTGTCCGTGTTAATCTCTGTTTAGCAGTGGCAAAGAAGTAAAAGCAGATTTTTTTTTGTTGATTGATTAAATGCTCAAAACAAGACTCGAATTATTATTAAACGACTAATTATAGTGTTTAAACTAATTCTAAGATCCTTTCTGAGAGAAACTTTTATATACAGTAATTTAATGGGTATGTGTTTAGTTAACTATCTTCTGCCCCCTTTTATAATCTGCTCATGCTTTAGGTAATGTATTCAAACATGAAAGGTCATTTCGACCACAAGTTTTCATCCAAACTGACTGTTTGAAACATCCAAGTAGAGACTCCACACAAAGCAAAACAAACCTTTCTCACTCTCCGTGTGGACACAGAAGATAACTGTGATGTTTTGAGTTGCTGGTAATGCTTATCAGTGGGCTGTGTCATTTTACTGTACACATAATGTGATACATTTAATTTCAATTAAGTACATGAGACTTATTTTATCTTCATGTATTATTCAAAGAAAGATTCTCTCATAAGAGTGCTTCAAAGATGAGAATCTACTCTTTGAGGAGAGATCTAAGTTTGTATTTGTATTTTTGCGCTTCATTTTTTGTTCATGGATAAACCTAAGCTTATTTGTTTTGTAGCTGTGCGAGTTTACTTACTTTTTCATAATCTTTGTCATTTTCCATCCAAAAGTGCACCTTATGCCCTCCAGTTTTATTTTAATAAAAACAGCAACACCCTCATGTCGCTTTTCTGTGGCTTTGATCACACAAGAACTCGTGAATATAAGCACAGAACGCCAAGAAACCAAACGTATCCATTTATTCTTTATTCACCTGCCTTTATTTTTGCATTCCAGGTCATTCAGGCCTGACTTTGTGTTGGTGCGCCAGCATGCCTTCAGCATGGCCCAAAACGAGGATTTTAGGAACTTAATCATTGGTCTTCAGTATGCTGGCATTCCCTCAGTCAACTCTCTGGACTCCATCTACAACCTCTGTGACAAACCTTGGGCTGTAAGCAATTTCAACAACACAAATTTACAGCTGTAATTATCTAAAGAGTATTTTAATCACTCTACATCATAATTGTACGATTTTTTTTAAGTTGTCAGTTAGGAGACTCATGTAGAATAAACACCTAACAGAGTGCAAACATTATAACATTATTACTATATGATTAATCTGCATATATTTCTTACGTATGCACCATATTGCTGCTTCTCTCTTTTTTTCTTATCTTCTAGTTTTCCCAGCTGATCAACAATCAGAAGAGGTTGGGTTCAGATAAGTTCCCGCTCATTGATCAGACCTTCTACCCCAACTACAGAGACATGGTAATGCTATTTTCTGCTTACTGCACACTGTAAACTGTGTTGTGTTTCAATTTGAAGAACACTCACACCTCACTGCGATCTGGAGCTGGCATGTGGCAATGTGATGTGCAGATTATTATATAATATATTGTATTTACTAATTTACAGTAATTGCCTGTTTCAGCGAGCGACAGTCTCTGAAAGGACAAAACAGTGTAGCGCATCAATTAAGTTTCGGGATGCCTGTCAAGTTTTTTTCAGTTTTGACGTATTTTTAGCAGAAACACTACAACACCATTGCACAAATCCTTGCTGTATATATGCATCTGAGCTTATGAGAACATAATAACAATATGAGAAAGGTAAGTATTTTTGTTTTTTAAACAAAGATGGGCTAAAAACTGTTGTACAGTACAGTGAAAATCCATGGGTTTTTATTATACGTATAAGAAAGGAGATGGTGCCTATTTCCCTCTTGCATTTTACTTACCAGATTTAGTAAAGCATTCATGTGGTATAATATAGAGGTAGGATTTAAGACACATTGACTTTTTTAAAAAGTGTCATTAAGTAAAAGTCGCGATTAATCTATCTGAGCTCTTGCTGAAGTCCTGCAAGGTTTATTTTCTTTGATGTTTGGTAGCTGAGGAGAATTTCTAAAAAAAAAAAAAAAAAGCACATGACACACAGGTCATCTGAGACATTTTATATACAATCTTTTTTGGTACATGGAAATAAAAAAGACTCTATTCGGACAGAAACACATAAATACAAACCCGAACAGGTCTTACAGTATAAAACAGACATGAAACTGCTTAATGCTTCACTAAAGCCATACAGTTAGGATGCATTACTATCATTTTACTATGTTCAAATTGACAGAATCCAATGTACAAATGACTGCGTAGTGCAGGTTAAATGTAAGTAGTTATTGTTAAATGTGACCATAATACGATGTCGAGACATTCTTGATGTTGATGTTCACAATGCATTTTAATCTGTATGACTTTAGTCATGAACAAGACAGGGGTCAACTCACACTTCTTACTGAGTTATTATATTGAGTAATTTTAACTGTTAATTATTGTTCATTCAAGGTTGTCAGCTATTTCTCTTTTTTGCTGGTTTTGTCAATTTTGAGATGAATCCACTTCCTCTTACTTTTTTACTTTTGTTTTAGGTGAATTGAGCCTTGTCTTGTTAAATCATTTCCTCTATGCAGAGGGGGGCAGGCTTGGCTTCTACAGACGGCAGTGCAGTTGTTAAAGCGCTGGATTAGATTTTTTGGCACAGGAAATAGTACAACCAATGAAACTAAACACACAAAAACACAAGAGAAGAATCTATATGCTATAAGAACAAATATTGTTAGCATTTAAAATGTTAATTGTCACAAAATACAATATTTACAGTCTCATAAATTTGAGGGGGAAAAACTGTGATTAAGGTGAACGAGACTCGTAGTGTATATATAATTCCTGCATCAGATTTAGTAAACATATAATTAATTCGAGAATGTCAGTGGTGCTTTGCGGCCTGTATACCGTACTATGAAAAGGTTTTAGGCACTTTGATTTATTATGCATTACACAATGCCATTTTTATGGGGCCCAAATTCAGTATCTCAAAGAACAATCGTTAGAAGAACAAAGAGTCCTGCAACAGATGGTATGGTCCCCATAGAGCCTTGGAGTCTGAATCATGGAGTCTGAATGGGTTTACATTAAGTGACAAAAGCAATGGAGACAGGCTAAATCCAGCAGAACATTGGAAAAATACTCAGAAACGCTTAGAACTGTACTGAGGTTACCACTGAAAAGTACACTAACATACAGGCACCCTTTGCCTTGGATTTACATGTGGAAACATTGCCCACACCAGATATGGATCAATTCATAAAAATGTAAAAATAAAAATAATTTTTTATTGTAGACTTTTGAAAGAGACTTTCAGTTTTTTAGTGCCTAAACCTTCCACACAGATTTGTATATACTGTGTACTTTTATTTGTATTGACAGTTAGCAGATACTATTTAAAGATATTCACTCCCAGGAGGTGTGAAGGAAAAAGAGGGGAAAGGAAAGCTGCTGCAGTGGGTCTGGAATTGGTTCAGAAAAGGTTGCGACAGCTTCCTTCTATTATTTATTTACCATTTTTGTTTCCTGATATAACTTTGTCTTATTTTTGCAGCAAATGAACACCTTTATGCTTCATACTTCATGCATAAACAAATGTAAGGCCTTGTATAATTTTATTCATTTGCCTTCAGGTAAAAAAACGGTCTAGATCAAATGATGAGTCTAATCTGGCGTGAGAGAAAGAAGATGATTCACTGGAGTGCTGCAGTTTGGACAGATTTTCCAAGATTTACTGTAACAACCAGTCAAAGCTCACGGTTACATTATGCTCCCTCAGATTTAATATTCGCCCAAATTTTTTTTAATGAAATCAGTTGCTGTTTTCAACCCCAGATCTGATCTACATAAGCCAAAGCAGGGTTTTGTTTTTTCGTTTTTTGTTTTTTTCATGAGGCATATTGGGAAACATATTGAGTAAAATGAATCTCAGAATTACAGGTCAAGGGTCAGTCATGTCAAAGAAGTCTTTCTCAGATGGAGGCCCACCCCGGTACCAGCTACAGCTTGTGTCAGAGCGGCGGATGCAAGCGTACTGCCGAGCCTGCTCGCCGTTTAGGCTGTTATCCAGCAGCCAGTCAGTCCACAAGCACTCGTTTTCTCCTGTAGATGCACACGGCACTGTGTAACAGGTGTTGATCTAAGAAGAAGAGAAGAATAATCGATTCGTCATCTCATCTCTCATCTCATCATTTATTAGTGAAGTAGGTCTCCCGTGTATTATGGATTACAGTTATGCAAAGGTTGGAAGAGAAAACAATGTTCACACATTTTAGACAAAATAAAAACAAACAATTTTTTTTTGAATATAGAGAGACGGAAAAGAGGCAAAGCAGCAGGAACAGATGAGAAGAGTGGCCTTTCTGCTGTAACAGCTGTTACACTGTTTCTTTAGTCTAAGCTCATGAAGACGTCTCTGACACAGACAGATGAGTGTGAGAATGATAAATATGTATGCATAGAGAATTGACAGTCCTTACTCACTCTGCATTCACAGCCCATCTGGTATCTATAGTTGAGATTCTTCTTTTGCGACACTGATAAGTTGTCCCAAGACTCTACCAGATCACACTGGCCAATAGAAATCCTCCCATCACTCCACATGCTCCCTGTTTGGTGACATCAGCATTTAGCCTTGCATTCAGTAGAATAGATTAAATAACTATTGCTGTGTCCAAAGGCCTCCATAAGAATCTTAATACTCCTAATGATAAACCAAATTTTTAAGAGCTTCATTGGTATACAGCTTTAACCTAGTGTTTTGGTTGATGATTGTCTCACCTTGTGGAATAAACCTTACACTGGGTGGTGGTCTAATGAATTTGTTTAGCGCTGTCCCCGGCAGACATGAATCAGTCTCAGTGAAAATGAATAGTTTCACTCCCAAAAGAAAAGCCATTTAGGAAAATTTCTCTCTTTACTGATCACAGCACCAATGTACCAACTTGTTTTTTCTTTCAAAGCACAATATAAAAAAGTTTCATTGCATACTGTACCTGAGAGCAGATACCCTGCCTTATTGTTGGAGTCCAGCTTGACTCCACACAGCGATGAGAAAACTGGAGTGTACACATACTGGATATCCTTAGCCTTGTCAAAACCTTTGAACATCTAGATACAGATGAGAGGAAAAGAGCAGAAACGTTTTGTACTTTTTAAGAATGGGCTTGGCATAATGTAAATTTAATGCAGTACAGTATGTGCAGCAACAGTGTCGTGCAGGAGGAATAATAAAAGAACTCTAGGTTTCCAAATTACAGCAGCAGAGAACATCCTAGTGCTTAAAATCCAAATGTGCAAATGAAAGTGTTGCATATTTATAATGAGCAGACATTTTTATGAAGAGCAAATGTTAATCCTGTTCAGTAGTCATTATTAACACCATGAGGTCATGTGGAGATAGACATTTGGAACATTTCAGCTTGATTTTTTTTCTCATTGCTCTAAAAATATTTGGACATTTTGCCTTTATTTGACAGTTAACACAGGGACAGGAAGCACTTAAAGACAGAGGGGAGTTTGATGTCAAACAAAGGTGGGAAATCAAACGGTGGATGTTATACTGTTATGTGTGTGCCATTGAGACATTTAACATGCATGATACATTTTACTTTATAGGGGGCAGGCTATATGTAGCTCCACATAAACCACACAGTTTAAAAAGGGAGGGGGGGGAAATGGATATGTGTGCATGACCAGGGCTCTCACCTTGATCATTTTTATTTCGTATTGGATCATCTTCATGTAAGGTGAGGAGCTGTTGCTAGGCGACACAATCTTCTCTCCAGATATCTTGGCTCTTATCACTGTTTGGGAAACACAGAAAAAAACAAGGATTAGGATCCTGCAAGTAAATCCAAGATAAGATAAGAACATTGTTTGCATACAAGAAACAATGAAAAACCTGTGTAGATAGATAGATAGATAGATAGATAGATAGATAGATAGATAGATAGATAGATAGATAGATAGATAGATAGATAGATAGATAGATAGATAGATAGATAGATAGATAGATAGATAGATAGATAGATAGATGGATGCATGTCCTCTCAGTAGTGATACAGGATGTGTCCTCCTCTCCTCTGGGAGGGAAATCAAAACCCACATGGAATAACAAGTAGCTCTCTGCTTGATCACTCCCATTAACTACCAAGTCCTCTCCACAAGCACATACTGTATGTGAAGTATGAGTATATACTTCACTGTGCATACACACACAGCACATTTTAATGTTACAACCTCTGAGAATATTAATCATAATCAAAACATTATTAACACTGATTACTTTAAGCAACCTGACCCGAATATTAGAGGCTTTATGTATACTGAGCTATTTTTCTCTTCCACCAAGCACATTGAATCTACATTTTTAGACATAGGCAAGGGCTGTAATGATGACTGACAAATTAATTTCACTGTTAGATGTTTCTTTTTCAGACTGATAACATACTGGTAAGGCAATCAATCAAAGAGAACTGACTTTATTATTATACATCTGAGGTTCAATTTAATGAAAAGTGAAAAGCAGTGGCATCACAGAAAAATGTATGTGACAGCTACTTATAAGAAAGTGAGTTAAAAACATGCATGGAGTGTTTCTTTTCTTTTACCATAATCGACAAGTGCTACCACGTTCAGATTACTAGATTACTGCTTACATTAGTAACACAGTGTTAAAGTTTGTAATATGTTATGGTTGCATTTCACATTACATTAAAAACTGGCCTGTCAGTGACTAATGAATCTCCAGCAGAATGAGGCGTCTATATGAGCTAATTCTCACCCTCAACACATTGTAATGGGTTTTTTTCAACATGCAGCGCAGTATGATGGACTTTTTGTTTGGAATTCCCTTCATGTTTGAAGGTAAATGTGCTCTGTAATAGCACTAAAATCCACTTAATTTGCTGTAACAAGTTTGGCGTTGTAGCATTTCAAAAGGGTGAATTTTAACCCTGGTCACGAATAAGCCTTTCATAAGCCGAACTATGTAGCTTGTGTGGCTAAATGCCGTATATATAGCCATATCAGAGGGAAAATCAGTGCAGGTATTACAGTAAAAACACTTCTTTTTGAAAGCAGTTGGGTCACAGTTTTATACACATGCAAAGTCTCGATAAACATGTCCATCAATGCCTCATCAAGCAACTTGTAATAAAAAATCTTTACCAAACTAACATGATAAAACTAAGGATATTTCCTCTGTATTTTTATTTTATTTTCGGTAACTAAATTGTTATTTTTCACTTCTCGTTTTAGTTTTTAGTTTAGTTTTCATTAACTATAACAATCTTGCCCTGAATGTATGAGTGATAAAGGCGTACCCACTACACCAGTATGTAAAGAGTTGTGTTGTTTTATCAGACAGAATAATATTGACCAAATACACTGGGTATTTCTTGTCCTAAAAGCATTTGTGCTTTTTCTCTGTGAAGATATTCTGCATGATGGATAATATCCTATATAATGAGGATATAATATAAAATATCCTTTAATGAATTCCCTGTAAATTCATCTCCCACATCTATTCTCTGTAAAAGCAGGAGTACAGTCCCTTGTAGTGCAATGGTGAAAGAGAGGGGGGAAAGGAGCCAGAAGTGAATTGAGTAACCTTTGTGAAATCATGAAAGAGAGAGAAAAGTAACAGTGTTAGGGAGAGGGAGTGAAAGTGTGAACCTCACTCTCGCACACAGCTAAGCAAACGTCCTCGCTTGTTTTTTCTTTTCGCTCGACACATAACTGTGCCACGGTTTTGTGTGCTGGTAAGAGGAGGAGGAGCTCAGCATGTTCTGTGAAATTGGCTCAGGAGAAATAAAGACTTTTTTTTTGTTCATCAAACACACAAGTGGAAAGATGGGCAGGCAGACAAATATGTGCGAATCCGTATAACGCTTTAATCGTTACACTGCTTGCAGCAAAAGAGCTGATCAAGGAACCTTCATACATTACCTTATAGAAAATGTCAGGGAGCATGACTGTAGATGCCTCTATGCTATTTGATATTCTTCATTGTTACACTGCATAATTCATAACCGGAGGCTCAGATTCGGTGTGGTAATACATTTGAAAGCATTAGACTTGCAGCCATGCAGTAGTTTTCTTGGGAATAGCTGCTGTAGTTGATAACTTGATCATCTTGGCATTATCCAAAACTTTACAGTGACCACGTTCTCTGTAGTACCTTACCTTACAGTCTGACCCCTACAAAGACACACCTGCCCATTAACCCACCTACTGTGTATACACACATGCAGCTGCAACCTCAAAAAATGTCAGCAGAGTTTGGTTTGATTAATTATCTGTATTTGTTTAAGTAGGCACTGTCAAAGCTTGAGCTGTAGACGACTACATCTACAGCTACTACTGAATCTTTTCACTTTCTATCTATTATATTTGATCAAAGTTGTTCTTTTTTTTCATAATATCAAGTTAGTACATTGAATGTGGCACTAGTAAAATAATAGGTTGTACGAAAGGTTAATGTAAAAAGTTTGATGTGTTTAACATTCTGAAAGGATACATTATAACCGAGCTCACAGGGTATTAGGAGACCTGTTACTTTTGATACTAAAATACATTTTGAAGCTGATATTTTTGTATTTCAGCTCAAATATCTGTATGCAAGATTACAGTATTATTTAGTTAATATTTTATGTATTTAGTTAATAATTTAGCTTAGGTATGTGAAGCTAAATCATTATAGATTAAGGATTTTTTTTAAATTCTGGTTACCGCACAGGAGCCGGTGTATATATGTATATATTCTTGCATGAATTTATTTTCATAAGAATCTTTCAAGGATTTCTCAGTCCTGCTCTATTGTGATGTAAAGTGTGTGCATGGTGGTACACACACACACACACACACACACACACACACACACACACACACACACAAAGAAACATGTCTCAAGATAGACAAAGTACTTTGGAAAATTAGCTGTCACTCTGTGTGCCGTATTAATGGTCAGCAGTATACCACGGAATAGATATGTTCTGTGGAAAGATCAAAGAATTTGCAGTCTTGGCTTTGGTCGTGTGTCAGTGCCAAAATAGAATCTATAGCTAACCAGCCAGGTTGGTGATTTTGATCTTTAATTGAGGAACTATTGGTTGGGTAAGGAAAAGAAAAATTCTATTGGATTTGCAAGAAGCCATAACATTTTTTGGAAAGTGCATTCCATGAGATATACTTAAGAAATTGTCTATAATAATAAGTGAATTGCAAAACCTTCCAAAACAGTTGTCTTGGCCTAGATTATCTGAAATGTTTACCCCCACACCCCCACCCCGTCTTTGAAGTGTACACGCTGGGTTACCAGCTAATTTCAGTTACTGCAGCTGTGTTATGAACGGGAATAAGGACAGGCACGCCTGCTGAGTGAAAGTAGCTGTGCATCTGCCCCACAGTTTCATAACCAAAGAGAAATATTGCAAACTTGTACCATGAGAACCTATCTGTAGTAAGTAACTTCCCCCTCCAAGATGAATCGGCACCCTTGTCATGCTCACAAAGCTGGACTGTCAGTGGGCTTTCACACTGATATTGTTAGTATGCAGACCATTAGACCAAGCCTATAGACATGGAAATGAAGTGGGGAGAGACTGGGGAAAGAGAGAGAGCGAGAGAGATGGAGTAGGCTGAGTTGGCATGGCTTGGCCTCTGTCCAACAAACAGACACTCGCATGCACACAATGTCAAATACACAAACATGGCCAGGGAACCGTCCAAGGTTTGTCCAGATGGGATATTACTCAGATGTTGAGCTTTATTCAAAGAGCTCATCGACTCTGACAGCACTGTCAGGTCAGCTAAAGGACACCACCAGCCTACTCTTAGAAAGCAACCAAGGATGGCCTCAGGTGCCACCAAGTGAAACACGTTTTTTTATTTCGATTTTGAGTCTCCTTTTTTGTTATGCATCGGTCCAGAAAATTATATCCTATCTGAAAAAGGCCCAGTATCCATATCCATTAAGAGACAGGCACATACTTTTGGAACTAAAAACTTGCCACAGTTCAAAAGAATTTTCAATTATCTTTAGTAATTCTTCTGAATTTATGCACAACTTATGTAAAAGGTTTTTCATGTGATACAACCTTTGTAAGAGTTCACGCAATAAGTGTGTGCTGAGTTGGAGTTTCATCTGGGCTCATTTTTATCATTTATTTTTACTTACTGTTTACATTATACACCTATTGTCAATGCCACTAAATATTACATGACTTTAAAATATAGCTATGGTGCTATGGTACCAAGGTGCGGACGATCTCTTTGGGGACATATGCCATTTAGCCTTTTTTCACCGCTCTAAATCTAGAATTTGTATTGATCAATTTTGTTTTGTTTCTGTTCTGACCCATGGTTAGATTATTCACTGTATGTTAAAAATCGATGTAACTACCAGCAGGGGGAGACAGTTGGAGTTTTGCCTGGGTGGCTCCACAGTGTAGTTAAGTGAAAAATTCCTGGTTTGATCCTGGAGGAGACAAAAATCCCTTTGGTACAGAGTCAAAAAGGGCATCAGCCTTAAAAAAAAAAGAAAAAAGAAAACCACGTGACACTGCGGTGACCCCTTGTGAATAAGCAGCCAAAAGTAACTTGTTTTTATATAGAAGCCAATGGAAAAATGACCTTTGACCTCTGCCCCAATGTTTTTGTCAAATAAGTGTCCAGATCAAAGCTAAGCTCCCCTCACGAGGTGCAGTGCTGGGAAAAAGTACTTTTACCTTTCCTGATTTTTTTTCCCTTTTTTTTAAATTGTCACACTTAAATGGATCAGATCATTGTCTTAATAATAGACAAAGTGAACCCAAGTAAATACAAAATACAGTTTTTAAATGATCATTTCAAGGGGGGAAAGCTATTCTACCTGGCTCTGTGTGAAAAAAGTAATTGCCCCCCTAAACTTAATAGCAAGATTGTGCCATCAAAGTGTTTGTGATAACTGACAATGATGGCAATCTTTCACATCACTGTGGAAATATTTTGGCCCACTCTTCCTTGCAGAACTAATTTAATTCAGCCGTCACTGTTAAAGGTCATGCCAACGCATCTCAATCTGATTTAAGTCCAGACTTTAATAGCTTGGATAGCAATTTTCCCCACAATAAACAAAATCACCATGTAAAAACTAGATTTTGTCATTATTTGGGTTATCTTTGTGTGTATTAAAATTTGATTATCTAAAACATTTAAATGACAAAACAATGCAAAAAAAAAAAACAACCAAAAAAACCCCAAAGCAACCAAATTATCTTTCACTGAATTGTATATTTATTTAAAACTGTGTACTTTTTTCTCAGTAGATTTTTGTTCGTTTCAGTTTTGTTGTAATCAGTAAAAGGATAAGGTAAAAATATTCTTGTCTACAAACTGCCCCTTTCTACAGAGTCCAATCTAAACACCCTGCAGATGGTGAGGTTTTGTCACAGTTTTCATCTTAGAACTATTTTTCAAAGGTTTTGCTGGATAGTTTCATGTCTAATCGACTACAACAGGAGTATTTTGTTTTTGTTTTTTTTAATAAAAGGCCTACATTATGTCTGACAAGTCTCCACTATGTGAGTAATTGGTGTCCTTCAGTTGCTCTGTCAGATCTGCAACATGCTCAACAAGTCCAGGTTCAAAATATAAAGATAGCAACAGCAATAATGCTCGGTTCAAGGTGTCTCAGTGTGACTTCGCTAATCAGTGGCTGATGTCCATCTTCTGTTTACATTCTGTGGCTTATTGAATAAGCATACCTGGACAAGCAAATAAATGTGTGACAACTTAGCAGTAAGAAACCTGCTCTCTATAACCAATGATTAAAAAACAGGGCACAGCACCATGCAGCTGAAAACCAGAACATTCCAGCTTGAGATGTTATTCTGGTTAGTTCAGGTCCTCTACTAGTTTTCCTTTATAGTTTCAGGCTTTGAAGAAAGCTCAAAGAGCCAAATATTCATACTTGCAGAAATGTAATCTCAGCCATCAATGGCATGTGTCACATGTAAAATGCTGTCCTAAAAACCTTGCATTGAGATAACCAAGATCTAAATTGGCTGTTCACCTGGAGATTTTGAATACAGGTATTGCCTTTCATTTAACCCGGCCTTTGTTTTAAAAGCACTGTAGAGAAGTTGACCCTTTAAACCTAAAGGGATTTGCAGACCAACTAGAAAACATGACTAAAATAAAAGCAATTTCCTCTTCTCTCTCTCTGTCTCCCTCTCTCCTCTGCTGGAGTGTAACCTTTGACCAAAGCACATACTCCAGCTTTCCACACTCTGGAGCCAAGTACTCAAAGTCAGAGCAGAGTGTTGGTTTTGGCTTGTGCTTAGACAAGAAAGAACTGGATGACGGGGGCGTCGGGCAGAGAGACAGGCACACAGACAGACGGACGGACAGAAAGTAGGCCAGGACTTTTTTTTTTTTTTTAGGGGTTGTTTTTACGTGAGTGACAAAAGGAAGGCGCTAATTTCTTAAAACAGATAGCACACAAGGAAAAGTTCATGTTAAGAGAAAAACTGCATCCAAATCAACTTATTGAAATACTGCTATAAATATCAACCATGAAATTATGTTCAGATAACTCACGTTTTCTATGAATAATAATCATAATAATCAAAAAGGCCACAGTAGCTTAGCCATGAACCTCTATTGATTAGTTCTTGTAAAACTAATTTTGCACTGTGGATTGATTTTTTCCCCCTAAAAGCATGTAATTAATCTGATCAGTAATCCAAATAATTAATTGGTTTGTCAATATGTAAGGACATTGTCCAGATTAAAATAAATAAATAAAGCATGCACCTATTTTCACACATATAACCTTGGTTATTCTAAATTTCAATAACTTACCAATCTCAGCACTGCAAAAGAGCTGTTGTGGGTGTGCTGGGTGGCAGCTGCATCCCTCCACAACTTCCTCCAAGCCTGCACCAAGCAAAATGAGCACCCAAAGCCCCAGACACACACTCCGCTCCTGGGACACGGCCATGATGACTCTGGCTACCTCTGACCGCTCCACCACTTGATGAAAGCTCGGCAACCTCTTGTGATCCTGTTAAGTTCCCCTGGAAGAAAGTCGGGTGGGCAGTCAGCAAGAGGGCAGGGTGATAGATAAGACGGTGGGGTCGAAGTGGTAAGATGAGCTCTGCTGAGCCGAAAGGCAGCTGTGGATAGAAATGTTTTCATAAGTTTAAAGTAAACCTATGAATTCAAGCTGCAGTGAAGGGAAGGGAAGGCTGCTGCTACTGTTGCTGCTGCTGCCACTGCTCTCTTTTCTCTTCTCCTCTCTCCCTCTCTGTAGACAATACGCAGAGGAACTTACAATAGTTGGATCCCCTCACACTCTGGTCTTGAATGCTGAGAGGGTCGCACACAGGGAGCCTCTTATGTGCTCAACAATTTAGGGACAGCCTCCTCTAACGCAAGAAGAAAAACTACCATCCTTTGGGTCTTCTTCTGCCCTCTTTTGATGTCCTCACTCTCCTCCCATAGGCTGGCATAGGTCTCATTCACTTAGTCATAGTTTCATGTTTCATGTAATCACATCCACTTGGGAGATTAGGTTTGGTTTTTGGATTTTGTTTACAGAGCTGCAGTGGATCTGTGTACATACACGATTCCCGGAGGATGAGTCCCGCTGATTTTGGTGGTTCCCTGACTTGTCCTCTAGCACCACCATGAGCATCACATGTTAGGATTTTGCTGAAATAAAGACACATTTCTTTGTTATTTTTGCACAGTGTTCATGTGACTTTCATAAGATGTTTATTGGCATTATTTGAGGATGAATTTTACTGACTTTGATTTGAGTTTTTGTTTATTGCAGCAGTTTTACTGCCTTACTAATAACGACCACTGCTAAAGGGGCCTCTTATTTTTCACTGCAGGATTTTCCAGTTTGTTATTATAACTAACATAAGTTGTCATTATGCTTCTTCATCATTATTTATCCATCAGTTATACTGTTTATTTGCAGATTACAACACCAAGCTTCCCAGTGGTGGTGAAGATTGGACATGCTCACTCTGGAATGGGAAAGGTAATTGGTTTATTTATTTACCAACTGACATATATACAGTTAGATTAACCATTTAACCACACCTGCTTTACTTAAACTTTAGCTACCATTCAAAGATATGTGGGGATCGACTATTACAGCCAGGAAATAGTTTTGGCTCTGTGAATGGAGGACAAATCATGTGGCTATTATAGTAGTTAGCTTAGATGGTTAAATGGTAACCATAAAGCACCACTACATCTAGAATCACATTTATTATACTTGTTAGTGCTTTTGCTGGCATACGCGTGCACTTAATAGCCTTCTCCCATCCTCTGCTTCCATCTTAGATGTCTTTCTTTATCCCTTTCCTCCTATCAGTTCATCATTTTTATTCTCTCTTCCCTTTTACATTTTGTCCAAACATTGTGCTGTTATTGATTGACAACTGTGTTAATATTTTCTGGCTAAAATCAGAGTGGAGCGTTTCTACCGCTCCTGATCGATCCACCACACATCATTCCCCTGAACTGCTCAGTTCAATAAGCCATTTTCACACATGCACTGCACATTAAATGGAGAAGCTTTATGTGAGAAAGCAAACGTCTTAACCGGTCAGATTGGACATTAGATTGATTGATCGATTTAACACTGTTAACCAATGTTTGATGGCCAGTTGAACCAATGTTAGAATCAAGCAAGTCAAACATTGTCCAGACAGTTTGCAGCAACTGCATTGTCAATCGGCTTTGAACACAGCCAGTCAACTTCATGAGTATGTCCAGTAGTGATGATGCATTTGTTTTTAAACAAGCTTGTGTTCTACATTTGAGAAACGGCAACTTCAAGCACTGTCCTGACCTGACTCTCCTGACATTGTGATCCATGTAGTGCCACTCTGTGCTGGGTTACCCTTATTCATTAAATATAATTTATTGTGACACAAGAAGGTATTATTTGTGTATTACAACCGAGTTACAGGAGCTCAACAACCACTCATCCTTGAAAATGTTCTACCCACACGTACCATCACTGTCCTTCCGGTCTTAAAAGTAAAGCCAATGGAGAAGCGCTTTAACCTGCACTTTTTCTATTTACCAGCAGGGGGTGAAATGTACATTGGTGGCATTTGCGTGACAAATTGTAAGACTGGGTGCATTTTGAGAGTCTTTCTTTATTTGAATAAATAAATTAAGTATTTATATGTTTTACTCCACTGTAGGTTAAGGTGGACAATGTGAGCGACTTCCAGGACATTGCAAGTGTGGTGGCCATCACTCAGACTTACTGTACTACAGAGCCATTCGTAGACGCCAAGTACGACATCAGGGTCCAGAAAATTGGCACGGACTACAAAGCCTACATGTAAGTGTGCTGTCCTTGTGCGTCATTTGGATTTAGGGATGATATATTGTGCGTGCGCGCTCATGTACCAGCAGACAGAAATATAAATCTTGAAGTTTACCATACCACATCTCCATGTCTCATGTGCCTTTAGTTTAGAAAAAAACAAAGAGCATATGCTAGCATATGGTTATGAAACTGCCATTCAGACAGAGAACCTACAGCTCTGCTCTCTGCCTGACTGCAGTTAGTAGCTGAAGCCACAAACCTCCTGCTGCAAGGATGCTTACTTCTCTCTGTCTTTTATTGCCTGCATTTATAATATCTATACTGAAGGGCTGACTCTGTAATGAGGCTTTTACATAATAATTTAATGCACAATTTCCTCTCCTTTTCCAGGCGAACATCTATCTCTGGTAATTGGAAAAGCAACACTGGATCTGCCATGTTGGAACAAGTAGCCATGACTGACAAGTGAGCACCGCTTCCACATTAGTGATGCTCAGGCTGCCCTGATGTCACACACATCTCTCTTGTGTTTTACCACAGTTAGTCAGTGTACTCAGATTAATTCAGCTGAAAGCCGTTGACATTTTGTACCACAACTGTTTTCACATCATCTGCTCATGGGTGAAGCATGCATTTCAGCACAGTATTGAGAGCACAGGTATAGTAAGTCAAACTGTAAACAGTATCTAGTGCACTTTCAGCACCGTTATCTGTGTACAGCAGCCCTGGAACAAACATTATTATTCAAATATTATTTATAGAGTTGCAGTTGTCAAACAACTTTTAGCTCAGTTTTATGCAAGCTACCAGGGCTAGAACACTGGATTAGAGTACATTATCCTTCAGGTGAGTATTGATCCGTCTGTTTTGACCCTAGATTGACTGGAAGGAGTAAAGCAAGGAAAAAAACAGCACCTTCATAGGTTACAGCCTGGAGCTAAAGGGGCTCAAGAACGGGTTTGCCGTTGGGATCTAAGCCCAAACAACATTTCTGCTACACGCTGTGCTGAAGTGATAAATCAATACCACTGCTTAATTAGTGTGCAAGACTTTTCATTAGCAATAAGGCAGGAAAGGTTCACCATCATCTCCCACCTCGTTTTGATACAGCAAAGAAAACAAGTTAACTACCTAATCTTGTTGCACATTGTCACCTATAGTCGCCTTTGACAGCTGTTAATAGGACTAATTTGTCACGCTTTTCTTTGTGACAGGTTTAAACTGTGGGTCGATACCTGCTCAGAGATCTTTGGAGGACTGGATATCTGTGCTGTCAAAGCCATATGTGGCAAGGATGGAAACGACTACATTACAGAGGTGAGAAGGAAAGGAAGGGAAGGGAGGAGTAAAACTAAAGAACTCAAAAGGTTTTTAGACTTTTTCCTGCATCACTGTATTTATTGACTCTTGCATTTTGTTTGGAAACTTTCACCACGTTGACATCAGCCTGTGGGAGCTGTGTTGCATAAGCATATTAAATTTATCATGTCTGGCCCAATTTACACTGCTGGGAGCAGAGATTGTCTGGCTGGGAATAAACTGATTCAGGTAACCTGAATGCACATTAAGGGTTTAATAGCTGATGTCTGATGACACTCTGACGTGCATACATTACACAATTTGTGTCACTTTATGTTCATCTTTTACACCAGATTGCTCTGTCTTTGTGTTTCAAAACTTTACTATCTCTCTATTTCTCTTTCACCTCTGCCTTTCCAGTATTTTTTTTTTTTATCGCAAACTGGTTTTTATGTTTTGCAGCCTTTAGTCGTGATGACAGCAAAGTAGAAGTATAAATTTCTTCTGCTTAATGCTACCTTTTATGTAGAAAACATTTACATAAACCAAAACCATTAACACTCTTTTTAAAGTTTTTAAAGGCTATAAAGTATAAGAGCTTAGATTTAGTCCAGATTGGACAGATTGGAGGCGTCTGGCAGGATGACTGCACCAGATTCTCAATGTTCAGGCTGAGATAGAGCCATGATCAAGAGAAGCTGACATAGAAAGAGGTTACAATAAAGTATGAGGAGCTTTGAAAATTGGTTTTCTGGCTGTATTGGTTCTCTTAAAGTTGGGTAGTTAGGGCACTTCAGTGTGGCAGGTTAAGCTTCAGAAACTGATGGGAGTATGTTTGAACCCAAAGGCAGAGAACTGACACAAAAAGAAAAAGTATGAGCTGCAAATAATTGGAGGGACTCAGACTATCGCAGCAACACTACTACCAAGCTGTTGAAAAAAAGGTAGAATTCAGGAGTACAAGGCCAAAGATGAAATGTTTAGTGACCAGCAGCTTGACAAGCTTGGGTTTGTAGGGCAGAAACTAAAGTGCTCTAGAAAGAGCTGCTTCTCTGTGGAATAATTTTAGCAGTAAGTACAGAGCATCTTAATTATGTAGGTCATTGCAGCTTGCTCATTTATGGGTCAGTTCTTATCAAAATTGTGATAACTGGCCACGAAAAGATGGAACAATATGGTAAGCACACTTCAGATATGGTAAAACACAGCCTGCTTTGTGAAAGTCAATAAAGAAGCCAGAACAGACAAACCAACTCGATGTTTCTAGACGGCAGCTAATCAACTTATAGAAAGAGTAGAGCAAAAGCTGAAGTAGTCTAACAGCTAAGAGTGTGTTTGTGATAAACAGATTAGACAGATGGAGGGGGAGATATGGTGACAGTTTTAAAATAACAGGATTATGTAGTGATGATTCAGACAAGATGTGTTTGTGGAAATAACTGTATGACTAAAAATGATAAAAAAGAGACTATGCATCAGAGAGAGCACAGGGAAATTATCCTGGAGCCGACATGACACAAAAGGCTTGTCATCCATCCCATTTAAGCTTTGAAAAAACTTGACAGTCATAAAACTGTGTACTATTTAAACTGAAAGCAGATTTCATACTGAAACTGAAAAAATAGGAAACAAATAACAAAAACATACCTCCACAGTTCCCATGAGTCACTTTTTATAATGATGTAAAACTGAGGGCAGTTTTTGCTCATTAAAAGACAAAATCCTGTAATGGTGTGGGTGTGTTTTGTTTCTGTTTTATTTTTTTATGTTGTCTTTTTTTATGATTTCAAACTACACTTTCCCTGCAATTGGAGAAATATAACAGAATCACCTAGATACTCTGTTCAGACCGCTGTGCTGTTTAACCTCCTTTTTTCTTCAATGTCCTGACTTTGTTAGCCAGTCATAGTTCGTACATCTTCTCATCTCTCACATTGTTGTCTCCTGTTATCCAGGTTGTGGGTTCATCTATGCAGCTGATTGGCGATCACCAGGCAGAGGACCGCCAGCTCATTTCAGAGGTGGTGCTGGCTAAGATGAACCAAGCACTGGCCTCCAGGTCATCTAGCGTTTCCCGCTCACCAACGCGCTCCCCTCAAAGCCAAAAGCCAGCTACTGTGCAGCCCCAACAGGTGAAGCCTTTAATATGTTGCATTGTGTAGCATTTGTTCTACAAATACAAAAAAATTTGCACCGCTAGACCTCTTCCAGTGTGGCTGCTGTTTTAAAATCTCCCTGTGGAAATCATGTCCTGACCACTTAAAATTGTGCATCTACAAAGGATCCTGATGAATAACTTCAGGTTTAAAGATACTGTAAGCCTCTTTAGAAAAGTACATAGATGCTTCTGGTTATGCTCCCAACTGATGGACTCCTATAAAGGTTGCTATTTGGTCTCTGGGTTTGAGCTAGAGAATTCATTTTCATTACCAACGATAATATTTTAACATTAAAACTGGATCAGCTTTACAGAGATGGCTGATGTTTATATCTTAGAGAGCAAACATTGAAAGCATAGCAATCATAAATATGGCGGAATCAGGAAATCCACAATGTGATCTAAAAGTAGCAAGTGTTTCCAAGGTGCACAGGAAGCACCTACTGTAGTCCTTCACAACTCACTAGTGCATCCTTACCTTCGTTTTCCTTTATCCCCAACCATTTGGGGTAGATAGTTGCCCCTCACTGAGCCTGGTTCTGACGGAGGTTTCTTCCTGTTAAAAGGGAGTTTTTCCTTCCCAGCTTTGCCAGGTGCTTGCTTATAGGGGGTCGTCTGATTGTTGGGGTTTTCTCTGTATTATTTTAGGGTCTTTATCTTACAATATAAAGCGTCTTGCAGCTGTACTATTGCTGTATATACCGGAGCTAGGTAGTGTAGTGGTAGCACAACTCACCTTTGGAGTGGGAGTTGCAAGTTCGAGTCCCACGCATGAAGGGTCCTGGCTAGACCCTTCATGCTAAAAACCACAAAGCCCTGGAATGGTGCGGCTGCAGCACGGACACAAAAGTTTTCACTGCAACTTGTACTCTTTATGATACTGAATGTGACAAATAATGAAAAAGCTTGCTGTTTTGTTTTGAGGCCACTGTTGTTGTGAAATTTAATTGTATATAATTTAATTTCCCTTTCTTGTTTTTTATTGCCTTGCCAACTCTTTTTTTTCATTGATCCCTTGTCTCCTCTCTGTCTACTAGACTGCTGCCCCTAAGGAAGGACTGGCTGATCCTAACAGGACTTCAAGCCAACGTCCTCAACCTCAAGGTTTCTGAACACTATTCACCAATGTAAAAGGGCTGCTGCTGTAGCATGTCTAGAAAACACTAACTAAATTCATCATTGAACAGTCCCCTTGCTAACATCACTTTCTGAGATGAAGTATCCACTAGCTGTTAACTTGAACATCTTCCTTATCAAACAAAGTACTGCCATCAGAAAGTAAACAGGTGGGAAATAAGTATTCAGTGCTTTCACATCGTTGTATTGGGACTTGATACTGTAACACATAGATGCCCGATCATCCAGTTTACCAGCGATCTGTTAATAGACCTGTTTGTTTTTTTCTGCCAAGAATTAGACAAGAAGACCAACAGTAATGTCTTCTCTGTACTGTAGATATGCAGCTACCATTAGCTTTGCCTGGGCATGGAAACTGGGAAAAACAGCTTACCTGGCAACCCGATCCACCAATAAACACCTTTAGAACTCACTGATTTGCACTTTGACGTCATGTGTTGCTCTGTGGCTTTCACAGGTTTTGTATTCATCAAAATTATGACACACATCTTGTCAAAATGGGAAACTTTGATCTGCTATGGTTTCTTTGGAAAGAGCCATGCTGGCTGTTTCCCCTGTTTCCAGGCTTTGTTTTTAGCCTACCTAATTACCTACTGAGTGTAGCTTCATGTTTACCGTATAGGTACAAGAGGCATATTCATCTTCTCATCTAACTCTTGGCAAGAAAATGAAGGAGTGCAGAAGAGTAGAAGCAGCTTGTATTTTGTAAGCATACTGATCCTTGTTCCTTGAACTCAACAGTTTCCTTCATTACTGCCTCAAACTAGTATATTGACATCATGGCTTCACTTCGGTGTTGACAGAAATGATTGGTGCACTAGTCTGGGTCCAAGAACAGCAAGAAGCCTCTTCTATCTGTCAAAGCTATGCCTTGCCTCTTTTTAACTTGCGGCATTCATTTATATTAACAAGCCAGTGTTGTCTGTTTTTAACTTGTGGCATTCACTTGAATTAACAAGCAAATGTATATTAAAATGCACTTAGCCAGCATGTTAAGTTTAATTGCAGATGTAATGTAAGTTTTCAAACATGTGTGTGTGTGTGTGTGTGTGTGTGAGAGAGAGAGTGTGTGTGGTGGTGTTTGTGCTCAGGGCTGATGTTTTAAAACTAAGTGTGCCTACTAAACGCAGTGGTAAAACGCTACCCAAAGTGTTACATTAACAAAGCCATTAATGTTGGAGTTGTTGTGTTTGTCTTTGTGTGAATTTGGGTTTGCATGTTTGTTCATTGTGGTTTCTCATTTTTTGCATGGGTGTGGCAAATGCCTGTACTCCATGTGGTGGTTAAGATGTTGTAGAAATAGCTTTTTGTGTCTTATGTGAATTGATAGAGATAAATATGTGCCTATTGAGTGTTAAGATGTGCAAATCGGACTTCACTATATATGAATTATGCATTAATAACAATGCCATATGTGATACTAATTTAACACTGTGAAAACATGTGCACTTATTGGTGGATTAATGTTTTATTTTTATGTGTTCTTTAGTGAAAAGAAAAATAACTTACAGAGATTACCATCACTCTGCTTGTTAAATTTTGGCCAGCTCAATTGGGTTTCTGTGGTTTCTGCTTAAATCATTTTTATAATCTTTAAATTGCATTTTTATGCTAAATAAATTGATTTCCTTCTGGCTGAGCAACAAGATCTTGACTTTTTTTGTGAGTAGCTGATTAGAGTTTGTGTTTGGTTGTAAATAAGCCTCAACTGTTTTGTGTTATAATACTTGAAACAGGCAATCTGGCTTCATAAAGTGCAAAATATGATGTTTTTTTTCTCTCACAATTACAACACCTGATTAAATTAAGTTTAAAAAAAATTAGCATACTTTTCTTTGTCTGCATGATCATTCCTCATTTGCTTGGATCCAGACCATTGAATTGCTAATATTTGAACATCTGGCTATAGATTTGATGAAGATTTTGATTTTTAAACCTTTTCTAAATAAAGAGATTAAATAATATTTTTAATAATATAGCTAAAATCGTTTGCCACTTTCTGTACTTGCTTGACTGATGTGGCGAAAATCAATTATAATAGCGGTCAACAAAATATTAAGCAAATCTCTAAACACAATGTTCCCTAATTCTGGGTTTGTAGCCAAGCAAATTGTTATTGTGTCTCCCTTTATGAATTATGTTTGTACAAATTGTATTTTCTTTGGTTTTTATGCGTCGTGAGTCCCAAGCAACCATTGGGATGCTTTATGACAATCTGATCAAACGTAAGACTCGTGGCCAATTAGCTGCTTGACAGCAGTGACTCTCTGAGAACACATGGGATGAATTTTCATGAAGTTTTTGTAATGAGAAAAAATATATATAAATTCATAAGTCCATAAACAGGATTCTGTTTACATTTTTCAAGCTGTGTTCAAAGAGGCTTTATAATGTAATTTACATTCAGTAATTCTGTTTTGGAGAAAATGAATTCTGAACTGCTGGAAACTCATCCCTGCCCTGCCGCTTCTAGCTCAGCTTGTGTAATCACTTGGTTCTTTTGTGTTGCATGTCCCGCCACGTTGCTGCTTGTGTTTGGATCACTTGTTCTAAACCGGTATTTCTCCGTTAGCTCCTGACCTTTTGTTGTTTACTGTCTTTCTCCTCACCGTCAGTCTGATTCTTTCCTGCCACTGCCTGTTTTAATTAGCGCACTAGTGCTGGTCACGTGACTTACTGTGCATAACACTTGGCATGATAGGCGAATCACCGCACCTTCTTTTAACTGCTGTTCTGCCTCCCCCTGCTGGTCATTACAGCCAAAACATTCAGAGCCTGCTTTGCCCCAGTCTATTCTTGATAGATTAGTTAGATAGGATTTCTATGAATGTCTGGAATCATTTTGTGAATGGGCATGTTTAGATTCAAGCTCATTTTCTATGTCATGTTCTGCTTTGGTTTTTGGTGAGTGTTACAAATGCCTGGTTGTCTAATGCTGCACTAACAGTCTCTAGAGTTTAAATACTGATGCTTGTATGTTCTATTATTAACCCCCTTTTTGCATTTGGGTGTTGTATAGCAGTGGAAGTACAAGTTCATATAACTATATTTCATCTTTTAGGTGCACCAGTGAAAGCGCAGAGTGTGGACACATCATCAGAATCAGCTAAGAGAGCATCTGAACCAGTACCAAAGCCCAGCCAGGCTCAGAGACCTGGTCCAGGTCCAGCTCAGAAACCAGTTCAGGCTCAGAAACCAAGCCCAGTGCAGAAAGCTGCCTCAGTCACAAAACCACCAGTACCGAGGCCTCCACCAATGATGAGAGCCCCGTCTGTCACAAAGCCAACCCCAGATTCTGCTTCCACTTCAGCCCCAGCCAAAGCTTCACCATCATCCCCTGCAAAAGTACCGGCAGCTGCAGCTCCAGGCTCTCCACCAACCAAAACAGCAGCCGCAGTTTCTGGCCCCGCTGCAGCCTCAGCTGCAGCTCAGGCTTCTCCCCCAGCCTCTCCTCCAACCACAGAGCAGCCCAAGCCCCAGCCTCAAGGCTCCCCATCCCCAGCACCTGGCAAACCAAAAGATCTTCCCCCCAAACCCACACCACCTGCAAAACCCATTCCTCCTATGCGCAGAAATTCCAAACCACAGCTCCAGCCTAAGCCACAAACCGCACCTCCTCCGAAAGCTTCGCCCACACCCCAGCCCACTGCCCAAGCACCAGCTCAGTCTTCAGATACAGCCTCGGTCTCTGCCCCAGCACAGGTTCCGTCCCCAGCCAAAGCCAGTCAGGTCCAACATAACATCCAGTCTCCAGCTAAGGCTCCAGTTCAAGTTAAGCCAGCTGCTGCTTCCCCGAACCCTGAGCCAGTCCCAGCTGAAGCAGCCGCAGCACCGGCTGAGGCCGAGGCAACAGTGGAAGAACAATCGCAGCAAAAGACTCACCCTCTTCTGAAGTAAGAGCTGAATTATCAACACGCTTATTTAAAGACATTCATTCATTCATTTGAATACAAATTCTCCTTTATCTGTCTTTTCTCGATTTCCCCCTCCTTTTCTCCATTCTCTTCCCAGTAAATCCCAGTCCCTGACCAATGCCTTCAACGCCTTCAGCGACTCTTCTTTCTTCCGCGGGGTCTCAAGCTCCGGAGGCGAAGGCCAGGAGGAGGCAAAGGCCGAGACCATTCGTAACCTTCGAAAGTCTTTCGCCAGCCTTTTCTCTGACTAGACACACCCTCCATTTACCATTGGCCAGTGATGACTTGATTGACATTAAATGTGAACCAGTCTGAGATTAAAGTTTGTGTGTTAACTGTACTGTATTCCCTCTGTCCCGGTCCCTCTTCTGCACCACTTTTAGCTTTCCTGTGTGAGTAACAGTGAGGCCTGCTGGGTAGGATGTTCCGTGAATGAACCCAGACTAATAGGTCTGAAGGAGTTAAGTCATTGATATAGAATATATTATGATATAGTAGAAAGAATAGAATAAAAAATTATTTTTTCCCAGCGCACACAAAGGAACAGAGTCTAAGGTATAATGAAAGTATAATATTAAAGACTACAGATGGAATGTACATAAGTTTATATACGGTATATAAATGCAGTATAAACACAACTATAATGGGAGAGAAGCCAATAATAATAAAAAAAGAAATCAGCAGCACTTTTTGATTAGCTTTGCAGTCAGTGACATAACTCTTTCATTCAGTAGCTGGATTTATACAAATGTTAATGTTCAGATATGACATTTGGTTTCTCCTACATTTGATGGTTTCCAGTGAATCATTGTTGGTCAGCAAGTCAGTAAAAAGGGAAGAAGAAAAAAAAAGAGATACTTCTTTAAAAGATTTGTTCCTGTCTGTGTAAATCCAGCCGTTGTGTCTCTCTGGTCCTTGGCTACCGACTACTGGGCTCGTCATTGCTGCCCCTTTTTGTCTATAAGCCTTGAAGTTCATTTATGTGTGCGTGTGTTTTAGGGGGGAGGGGGGGATATCTGTATGTTCATTTGTGTTCACTTGTTGTGCATGGCTCCTCCAAGTGTGTGACTTTTTGGAGCAAGTGAGAGCTCTATCAGTGTTAGACTTTGCCCTCCGTTGCCTCTCTCTCTCTCTCTCTCTCTAGATGTTGTAGCCTTATTGTGAACATGTTTTCAATTCACAGCTATGTGTGTTAGCTGTGCAGACCTGGGTCAATTGCATATTAAAATGCATTCATTCACTATGAAGCTTTGAGCATTGGAATCAGCGTGCCGCTGCTGTTTAGGAGGAGCACGGCTGGCGAGTAAATGAATGCATTTCACGTGGTAACTCATGTCTGTAGTTGTGACTGGTGATTTCTTGTTTCACCTCTGTGTAGATCTATCAACAGTATTGTACTTTGTTGATTATTCTCATGAAAAGACATTGAGACAGTAGTGCAATAACACCTCGACATGACTGTTGAGTGCTGTCACCCTATTATATTATCATACATACGGGATCTGTGTATGTGTTGAATACCTTACTCTTACATTCCCTTTAAGATTTCTTTCCATGGTGACTCTCCAGGTTGCTCTTTACGTGCAGTCAGCATCTGATCTGAGTACTATCACAACTGTTGGTGTTTCGTCCTTAGCCTTGTATGTATAGGTGCAATGAATTTTACGCAGCCTGGATTGAACCCTCTACCTTCACCGGTCATTTTTGGTTCAGTTGTTGCATTTCAAGAACGTACGCGTAAAAACAAATCCTACGACCTGCATATCAACCTGTCGGCTTATCCATTTCCATGACTATGTTGCAAGTAAACTTTGACATATTGTATTTGTCAGAAGTTTATTTATTTTTTTGTAATATATTTATTTATTTTTGAGGTTCCATATTTATGGTAAAGTATAAAATGTTTGTTTTATATTGTGTTTTTATTTGTAATGCAATCCTGCTTTGCATGATCTGGTGACTGGTTTTTTTTTCTGTACAGATAAAAGTTAATAAAGATGTGGTTCCATCATCCCACTGATTCACTGAGAGTCATGCCAGTGGCTGTCTTTTCTTTGAGTGTTTTCTTCACATGGGCACATCTATTTCACACTCATAAAGAAGTGTGGTGCATCTGTGTAAGCATATATGGCCTGGGATAGATGTGGATATTCACCAGTCAGGGAAAGTCTAATTAAAAAGCTGCTGTTGAGCAGACTAAAACCAAGTTCGCCACAGCCACTGCTTCTTCTGATTTCAAACTACAAACCTGAAAAAAAGTAAGTTTCTTCTTCTTTCGCTTCCTCCCTTTAAGGATTGCCACAGCTCATCAGCTGTCTCCATTACCATGTCACCAATCCTAAAATACTGCAACATTGAAACCACTGTGAGTAAGTTAAAAACAAAATATGCAACTGCTAAGACAAGATTTTGACTTAGGTGTCACCGACGTCCATGTGATTGTGTCACATGGACGTCTGAAGAGTCTGAAGAGCTGTATGCACTGGCATGGCTTGTCTAGCAGGAAATTTGAGACATACCACATATCACAAGACAAAGCTTAGATTAAAGTGATTAAAAGGACTTTAAGCTTTAAGACACATGACTGTTAAAAGCATCTGTTGAATTGTGAACTCAACAGATTTGCCCCAGTGTGAAGAACTACACCCTAATTTACCAGATATTTTTTTTTTTTAAAAAGCACACGTGGCACAGGGTCCCACATTCATTCATCACACTCTTAGAAATATTCACACTCAAAACCTTTACTGAGATACATTGTTTAATTTGTTGGTATGTCATTTTGCTCTCAGCATATATATTTATTTTCCTTTAGATGAAAAATACTAAGACATCCACAACAGAGTCTCCCTAACAAATCTAGCAATGCCAGAAGGCTTACTGTATATCAAAACATTGTAGAGCATTATATCTTACACAGGCAGCACAATATTTACATTTTAGGAACACTTAAAAGTAGAAAAATGATCATTTGCCAGCACCATCACATAAATTTAAGCGAGCGAAGTGTGAATTATTGTCTTGTGGTGTTTTATTTAAGAGGTACTGGGTTGAATTTTCTCATGTGAGGCAGCAGATGGCACTGTGTATATGTGGAAGTGCTGTCAATTGTGTACTTGCCATTTCTCAAGATTAGCATTTTATAATTATTTATTACACTCTTTAAAAATACCTTACATATAAATATCTCTAAAACATCTCTAAATATTTCTCTAAAAACATTACTTATACATACAGACGTGTGTAAAAACACATATTAATGACACTTTTAAAAAAAAAGTTCTTTGTCATATTTTCCTCATCCTGTTCTTCTTTCATATCCTGCCTTTAATGTCACGCTTTTGTCACGCTTTAAGAAGGCGAGTGGCGGAAGGGCCCTTTTTACATGTGCCACTTTAGCCTTTAACATAAACCACAATACTTTTGCGTGAAACTGAACTTTTTTTTCCCCTCTCTGTTGTGTAAAGATGCAGACAGTGTGTTTACTGTATGCAGCATAAAAAAATCTGACATAAACAGATGCTTCATCTACATCGCAAAGGGTTTCAAGGTAATGTCAAGAATAAACGATTTATTAAGATCGCTCTTTTTAAAATTAAAAACAGAACCAGTTCTTCAACAAAGTCTGCCAGCGCTGATAACATGTATACAGTATGCACAGTGAAGACAGAGGAAACACACTTTGCTTTTGGCTCTTGGTCCATGGGGCAACCAGTCAACAGAGATCTGTGGGAACGTCTCCATCACGTTGCTCAAAGGGACATTTATGTGGGCGGCTAACTCACCAAGCAAGCCTATACTAGCCAAATCCTGTTTGTCTTGGTGCTCATCCCAACCTGCTGGAGGGAGAGATGGGAGATTAAATGTTATAATCTAAACATTTAGTTCATTTGTCATCCCATACATACGAGCATGGAGGGACAAATCAAGCCAGTTTGGCCGATTTCTTCTGTCATAACGTTAACTGTGAGGGTTTCAATTTCCTCACTAAAAGCTGCGTTGATTTTTGAGCAGCTTGCACCCCTCCTAAGCCTGAAAAATGACAAGTCTTTTCCACTTTATAATAATCACGACAGCGTAGGAGAGCCCTGTTAAGATACACAAGTACTTTGATGATGAACATTTTCAGATACCAGAGCTCCAGTCTGCTGGGATTCGACTCTATAAACAATCAGAAATTATTGCTTTGCTTTGTTTGTAACAGCCAAACTCTCAGGGGTGTCATTTTTTTTTTATCGCTGCAAAAAAAGAAAGAAATTCTGCATGGGGAGGATGTTATGCATGTGAGACAGAGTGAGAGAATATGTGTAAGTGTGTGTGTGCGCGCGTGTGTGTGTAAATAACCAAAGTGTAGCAGCTGTCTCAGTCCACCATACTGAGTTATAATAGATCAAAGGCAGCTAAACTGAAGCTTACTGTTGCACTCACAGGGTAGCAAAATTAACAGCTGCATTTACCTGCATTTGAAAGAGTTTTTTGTTTTGTTTTTTTTAGAATTGATTGCAGTGTTGAGCAGTGAGTGGCAGGGCTTAACATCGGTTGCGTTGAATTGCTTCAAAAGCAGGTTGAAAAGTCACCTCACAGAGATTCTACCTTGAAGTTTGAGAAGTAACACCATCAGGTATCTGTTCACACATTTGCTTTAGTTTGGTTTTGACACAAATCCCACTACAATTTTTGGACTTGTTACATTTTTATTGAAAGACCTTCTAAGAATTCCAGCACATGCTATAGATTCATATTTATTTGTTGCAATCACAGTAACACGACGACGGCTAATAACAGAGGTCTCTATTGCAAACCAAAGATTACAGTTTGCTAAAATTACTTCCTGAAAAACCATGAATGCAAACCAGGACATGCAGTTCTGTGCATGCTGTTTCAACGTCACACATAGCCACCTCAAAGCGAGCAGCCCCAACAGGTCAGACTCTGGTCAAATGACACTTTGACCAAAAAAAAAAAGGGGGGGGGGGCAGCTTTATTGCTTTGTGTGTTTTCTACAGACCTCTTTGTACCTGTTGGGCTGCTGTACATTTCAGCACTGGTAAATGTTCAAAAAAAAATCTAATATGTGGGTTTGTTCATGGGTTTTGTTTAGCCAGCTGTACTCATGCAATGGCACATTTCAGTCTAAACACCCACCTGCACCATGAGTGCTGAGATGTTTCATTCGTAATCTTAAGAATAGCTCCTTCAGTCTGTGGTAAGTAGGGTATTTACAGCAGTTCAACATCCGATATGTAGTCAGATATAACAAAATGTGATTTCAAGATAAGGATGTTAAAAAATATGAACCACATCTGCTTTCAGTCAGCAGAGTAAAAAAATTAAAAGTAGCCCTTAGATTCTGTGTCTAGTTTACCGTTACAGAGCGAGCTGTGTGTTGAGGTTAGTCGAAGATCCTTAAATCTACAACAAAGTCTAAAAAGATGCAGCACGCAGGCAAACTTACTATTCATTGTGCACCTGTTTTTGCACTAAGCTGAGTTTCAGCAGGCTAGCTGACTGTCCGGATGGCGTTTCATGAACTAAGTGATGCAGCAGAGTACAATTTCAGCTTCAGTAAACACATGAGAGGGTCGACAGGATGTTATCTGCTAAACGACACTCGCAGGATTTCCTAGTGAACTAGATGACTTAATTGCACAGTCAAATGATCACCCTGTTGTCTTTCAGCAGTTGAATTCAGTCCCGTCTTCTGAGACCAAAGACTGTGATGTCAGAAATATGACTGTAATCAGCTCGATAGTCATCACTGGTAAACTAAGTGACTAAGAGGGGGGGAGCCCGACAGACAGCAACAAAACAAGCAACCACTTACTGTCAAGTGACTGAGTATCAAAGGAACAATTCACTATTATTGGGGGATGAACTTAATATCGAAATTTAAATTAGATGGTTAACAGTTTAGTACAGCTGCTACTAATGAAGTAGTTACAAGTTAGCTTTCAGATTTGATGTAACACGTTGCACTGTTTTCGATTAAGCTACCGACCAGTACTGGAACTAAAACGAGCCCCACCTTAAGAAACTACATCAACAAACCCGTGCTTACACGTGAATGCATCAGTATTAATGATCCAAAAATATCAAACAAGAGAGTTAATCCAAGCTATGACTTCTCAGTGTGTGCCTCCATAATGAAAACTGTCAAAGTTTAAGTACGTGTAATTGAGTAATGGAGTATTTTTTATAACGATTCTAGTGAATCACGATATATAAATTACATTAACCTGAAATGAATTTTTCTTGCCATGTTCAACTGGTTGTCTTACTAAAAATAAAAATAAATTTTATTATTTTTTTAAAACTTTAAAAAAAAAACCTTACCAAATAAAATGTAGCCTTACTTGCTTAATCTGCAAAACCAGTATCAAAAAGCCGAACTAGTTCTTGGAGGGGAACAATACTTTAAAGAAACTCACTTGTTCCATACACAGTTCCCGGAAAAAAAAACTAGCGTGACACATAGCAGGTAAACGATATACGAATGCAGTTTACTATTGGTGCATCTTAGTTAGAGGAGCTTCTCACAAGTGGTAAGTGTATTTCATTAGTTTTTAACCATACCAAAATGTGATTTTTCTTTTCTTTTAGCAGTCTTTGGTCTAAGGTAACCCACTGAGCTCTTTCCTATAGTCAAAATTATATCAAACTATCTTAGCTACCTGTAAGTTAGGCAAGAAAGTGAATATGTGCTTTGCTGAAAAGGTGGAACTATTCCTTTAAGTTATTTGTTCCACATGGCTAAACACCTAAGAAACAACACTTTTAGGTCTGAATTTTACATTACCTGTTTCTCCCATATGGGGCAAACAACTGAGAAAATCCACTATAATGGGTAATTTGATGCCTCTGCCTGTGTCCTCAAGATCCCGATCGGTTGTGTTGAGAGGGAGGAGAGAGAGCGAGAGGCAGGCAGACACGACCACAGCTGCTGCTGCTGCTGTTTGAGCAGAAAACCGCACAGCAAACACACCGGACCTCTTTGACGCCGCGCTCCCGTGCGCACGTTGCGGACGCCACG